GCGTTTGATCCACAGTACTGCAGTAAACGAGGCGTTTGATCCACAGTAATGCAGTAAACGAGGCGTTTGATCTACAGTAATGCAGTAAACGAGGCGTTTGATCTACAGTAATGCAGTAAATGAGGTCTTTGATCTACAGTAATGCATTAAATAAGGCACTGTATCCAGCCATTCACTCTGACCGAACTGCAGAACCCTTTTTCTGTCTGTCCATCCCCAAGCAGTGTTCCCAGGTAGGGACTCTGAAAATCAGGGAAAACCTGGAAGGACTTTCATATTTTCCAGACAAGGAAACCTCAGGGTATTTAAATACTGATTAAAATATGGTTTGATGTGTTCATGGATCAGTGCTAGAGTTCTAGTGGGTCCATATTCTTCTTCTACAGCACGTCTCCTTACAGACTGGCTTCAAAGTTTCTGTTCTACAATATACCGGAATTATTAGGAATGTCTGTGGTATGCAGCGTAAACTGCACCATACTTTCCGTCATCTGCGAATGTGACGGAAGTAACTCCTGGAGTTCCCAGATTCATTCAAATAATCAGTAAGTTTGGGGGAATTTGCCAGTTCACAGAGAGGTGCCCATGGTGGAACTCCACACACGTTTAGGACAGAAAATGTTTCCAGAATGGCTCCACGTCTGATCTGCTTCTTCTGAAGAGCACCTGAGGTTCTGGTGAAGTCCACTGCTCTTACCTTCAAATGGTTTGGATCATTCAGAGAAAGTTCTTCACAAACCATAGCAGCAGTTTCATGTCATCTTAAGTCAGACTGACCTTTGACCCCACCACCACTATCATGCATTTACTTAGTAAACAATACTCTTGTTTATTGTATCACAAAATAATATTAGAATGTTTGGATTTAGAATAAAATAATACAACTAGTTTGAATTTCAGTTGAATCTTTTCATAAAATATGTTGCATTGCTGAGGATAAAGTCTGTCGACTCTCGGTCGGCTCCAAGGAGATTCTGGCAAACCATCAGGCGGCTGAGGAGGAGAAGCAGCACTTTACTAACACTGTGTTCAGTGAAGGTGGGCTGCTGTTGACCTCAACCAGTGATGCCTTCAGGAGGTGGAAGGAATACTTTTCAGACCTTCTCAATCCCACCAGCACGTCTTCCATGGAGGAAGTGGAGTCAGGGGACTTTGGGGTTGATCTGTCCATAACTGTGGCTGAGGTCACCTAGGTAGTTAAAAAGCTGAGGCAGCAGGGCTCTGGGAGTGGATGAGATTCACCCTTCTTTCGTAATTCACCCCGTTCGTATCTGGGTGACAGGAGTTTCTGTGTTAACTTTGACAATCATTTTTCTGTTTCTGTCCCTCTTTCCTGTGGGGTCCCACAAGGCTCTATTCTTGGACCCCTTCTGTTCTCATTGTATCTGCTCCCTTTGGGGTCAATCCTGAGGAAACATGGTATTTCGTTTCACTGTTACGCCAATGATTCTCAGATCTATCTGCCTTTAAAACCAAACAGTTCCTGCTCCATCCACTCTTTGCTAAATGTCTTGATGACATCAAGACTTGGATGGCTGCAAACTTCTTGCGTTTTAATGATCAGAAGACTGAGGTCATTGTGTTTAACCCAAGCTCTACCGCTGATCCTGTAAACCTGCACTTCCCTATCTGACAAGCAGAGGTAACTCGTTCCAAAGTCTTGGTCCTGCTTCAGAGAAGGCCCTGTCACCTCTGCGCTTAAGACGAGTTCCTGGAACTGTGAGGAGCAACTGGTCCGCTGACCTCAGGGAGCGTGGTGGGACATACGGTTGTAGCAGATCAGAGAGATGGGGGGGCGACACTGTTCAGTGATTTGTAGACATACAGGAGTATTTTGAACTGGATTCGAAAGTGAACTGGTAACCAGTGCAGTGAGGCCAAAACTGGTGTAATGTGCTCTCTTTTGCCTGTACTGGTTAAAAATCTGGCTGCTGCATTCTGGACCAGTTGTAGTCATGCAATGGAGGTCTGACTGATACCAAACAGGAGTGAATTGCAGTAATCAAGCCTAGATGTAATGAATGCATGTATTACTGTCTCCAGGTTCTTTTTGGACAATATGGGCTTCAGTTTAGACAGCCACCTCAACTGGAAGAAGCATGATTTAACAATGTTAACATGATTACATGATTGTTAAGCTTCAGGGAAGGGTCCATTATCACGCCCAGATTAGTGACTCTTTGTTTTTCTGACAGGGTTAGAGTGGAGAGGTCGATGCAGTGGTTTGTGATCGTGTCGTTGGGAGGGAACAACATGACTTCAGACTTCTTTTCATTGAAACTTAAGAAGTTTAAAGCCATCCAGTCCCTGATGTCAGCCAGGCAGTTGAGCAGTGGTTGAATAGAGCATGTACTACTAATGTTGTGGGGCTGTCTTGGTTGACACGGCTTTGCAACATCGTGTGGACATCGGGGGCAGTGCCACTGGACTGGCAGACTGGGGTCGTGGGTCCCCTCTTCAAAACAGGGGATCGGATGGTGTGCTCCAATTACAGGGGCATCACTCTCCTCAGCCTCCCTGGTCAGGTCTATTCAGGGGTACTGGAGAAGCAAGTCCGATCGTTGATCGAACCTCAGATCCAGGAGGAACAATGTGGGTTCCTTCCTGGCTGTGGAACACTGGATCAGCTCTTTACCCTCACTAGGGTCCTCGAAAGGTCACAGGAGTTTGTCCACCCAGTCTGTGTTTTGTGGACTTGGAGAAGGTATTCGACCATGTTCCTCGGGTTACACTGTGGGGGTGCTCCATGAGTATGGGATTGGAGGCCATTTGTTACAGGCTGTTCAGTCCCTATACAAGCGGTGCGAGAGTTTTGTTCTCATTGCCGGCAGTACGTCGGACCCCTTCAGGGTGGGAGTTGGACTCTGCCAGGGCTGCCCATTGTCACCGATTCTGTTCATAACTTTTATGGCCAGAATTTCTCGGTGCAGCCATGGGGTGGAGGGAGTCTGATTCAATGGCCTCAAGATTAATCTCTGATTTTTGCAGATAATGTGGTCCTGTTGGCATCAATGTGCCATGATCTTCAGCTCTCACTGGAGCGGTTCGCAGCCGAGTGTGAAGTGGCTGGGATGAGAATCAGCACCTCCAGATCTGAGGCCATGGTCCTCAACTGGAAAATGGTGTATTGCTCTCTTCAGATCAAGGGTGAGGTTCTGCCTCAAGTGGAGGATTTCAAGTATCTCGGGGTTTTGTTCTCGAGTGAGGGAAGAATGGATTGGTGCAGCATCTGCAGTATTGTGGACTCTGTATCGGTCCGTTGTGGTGAAGAGAGAGCTGAGTTGTAAGGCAAAGCTCTCTGTTTACCGGTCAGTCTACGTTCCTACCCTCACCTCTGGTCATGAACTCTGGGTAGAGACTGAAAGAATGAGATTGTGGATACAGGAGGTTGAAATGAGTTTCCTCTGCAGAGCTGGACTCTGCCCTTAGAGACAGGGTGAGAAGTTCAGTTATCCGGAGAGACAGACTAGAACCGCTGCTCCTCCACATCAAGAGGAGCCAGTTGAGGTGGTTCATCTGGTAAGAATGCTCCCTGGGCGCCTCCTTAGGGAGGTGCTTCGGGCATGTCCAACTGGGAGGAGACCCCGGGGAAGACCCAGGACACGCTGGAGAAACTATGTCTCTCGGTTTGCTTGAGAACACCTTGGAGTCTTCCCAGAAGAGCTGAAAGAGGCTGTGGAGAGAGATGTCTGGACCTTCCTACTCAAGATGCTGGCCCCACGACCCGACTTTGGAACAAGTAGAAGATGAATGGATGGATGGATGGATGGATGGATGGCATTGCTAAGGATAAAGTCGGTCTATAAAAGATGGAAATAGGAGGAAACTGTGAACTTTAGCTGCTCAAACAGCTGCAGCAACTCGACAACAAACCAAAGAAGAAACATGTTTGTAGAGAAGAGCCCAGGCCTACAGAATGGACAATTCAGACTTTTGTTTTCTGTTTTGGTCTCAAGACAAATAATTTGTTTTCCATTTTACACACAGCACTCTTCAGACATATCATAAACTTCTACAGAACCTATTTATTCATGTTTGTTTGTGTTTGTTTATGTGTTGTGTTTACAGGAGAGTCTCCCACTGTGGAGGCTACAGCTCCAGTGGAGCAGGACCACCCAGAGTCCAGAAGAGACTGAAGCCATCTTCAAGGTAGTCCACATCAATCTGAAAATGTCCTGCTTTTCTACAAACCGGATTCCAAAAAAGTTGGGACACTAAACAAATTGTGAATAAAAACTGAATGCAATGATGTGGAGGTGCCAACATCTAATATTTTATTCAGAATAGAACACAAATCACAGATCAAAAGTTTAAACTGAGAGAATGTATCATTTTAAGGGAAAAATCTGTTGTTTCCAAATTTCATGTTGTCAACAAATCCCAAAAAAGTTGGGACAAGTCCATTTTTCCCACTGTGTGGCATCCCCCCTTCTTCTTCCAACACTCAACAGACGTCTGGGGACAGAGGAGACCAGTTTCTCCAGTTTAGAAATAGGAATGCTCTCCCATTCATGTCTAATACAGGTCTCTAACTGTTCAATCGTCTTGGGCCTTCTTTGTCGCACCTTCCTCTTCATGATGCGCCAAATGTTCTCTATAGGTGAAAGATCTGGACTGCAGGCTGGCCATTTCAGTACCCGGATCCTTCTCCTACGTAGCCATGATGTTGTGATTGCTGCAGAATGTGGTCTGGCATTATCGTGTTGAAAAATGCAGGGTCTTCCCTGAAAGAGATGACGTCTAGATGGGAGCATATGTTGTTCTAGAACCTGAACATAGTTCTCTGCATTAATGGTGCCTTTCCAGACATGCAAGCTGCCCATGCCACAAGCGCTCATGCAACCCCATACCATCAGTGATGCAGGCTTCTGAACGGAGCGTTGATAACAACTTGGGCTATCCTTGTCCTCTCTGGTCCGGATGACATGGCGTCCCAGTGTTCCATAAAGAACTTCAAATCGTGACTCATCTGACCACAGAACAGTCTTCCATTTTGCCACACTCCATTTTAAATGACCCCTGGCCCAGTGCAAACGTCTGAGCTTGTGGAGCTTGCTTAGAAATGGCTTCCTCTTTGCACTGTAGAGTTTCAGCTGGCAACAGCGGATGGTACGGTGGATTGTGTTCACTGACGATGCTTTCTGGAAGTATTCCTGAGCCCATTCTGTTATTTCCTTGACAGCGGCATTCCTGTTTGAGGTGCAGTGACGTTTAAGGGCCCGGAGATCATGAGCATCCAGTAGAGTTTTACGGCCTTGACCCTTACGCACAGGGCAGCACGGTGGCGCAACTGGTAGAGCTGCTGCCTCTCAGCGAGCAGGTCCCTGGTTCAAACCCTGGTCCGGGGGCCTTTCTGGGTGGAGTTTGCATGTTCTCTCCGTGCATGCGTGGGTTTTCTCCAGGTACTCCGGTTTCCTCCCACAGACCAAAAACATGCATGTTAGGCTGATTGGTAACTCTAAATTGTCCCTAGGTGTGAGTGAGCGAGTGAATGGTTGTTTGTCTCGTTTGTCTCTATGTGTCCCTATGATGGACTTGCGACCTGTCCAGGGTGTACCCCGCCCCTCGCACAGTGATTGCTGGACATGGGCACCAGCGACCCCCGTGACCCAAAATGGAATAAGCGGGTAAAGATAATGGATGGATGGATGCACCCTTACGCACAGCGATTGTTCCAGATTCTCTGAATCTTTTGATGATGTTATGCACGGGTGATGATGATAACTTAAAAGTCTTTGCTATTTTACGCTGGGTAACACCATTCTGGTATTGCTGCACTATCTTTCTGCGCAACAATGGTGGAATTGGTGATCCTCTTACCATCTTGGCTTCTGAGAGACACTGACACTCTGAGAAGCTCTTTTTATACCAATCATGGTGTCAATTGACCTAATTAGTGTTAATTGGTCTTCCAGCTGTTCGTTATATGCTCAATTTCCTTTTTCCAGCCACTTATTGCTACTTGTCCCAACTTTTTGGGGATTTGTTGACACTGTAAAATTTTGAATCAACATATTTTTCCTTTAAAATGTTAGATTTACTCTTATGAAACTTTTGATCTGTCATCTATGTTATATTACGAATAAAATATTGACATTTGCCATCTCCACATCGTTGCATTCAGTTTTTATTCACAATTTGTTTAGTGTCCCAACTTTTTTGGAATCCGGTTTGTACTTCAAACCAAAGAAACCAACAACAACAACACTACCAACAGCAACAGCACCAACAACACCACCACCAACAAAAACACCAACAACACCATCACCAACACTACCAACACCACCAACAACACTACCAATAACACCACCAACAACAAAAACACCAACAACACCATCACCAACACCACCAACAACACTACCAATAACACCACCACCAACACTACCAACAACA